TTTCATTTTTTTAGTACCGACTTGGTACCGAAGTACCGGGTCTTTTGACAACACTAGTCGTAGTCGTGTGTTTATTATTCACGTTGAATCAATGAAAGCAGTTGAATCTTCTGTTTATTCAGCTGCAGCGATAGGCATTTCCTAAATTACTTCTTCGGGGCATATTTGTAGTTTCAGCGCGAGAGCACCCTCTGGCCTTCGGATGGAGATTTACTGCTGATCACAGAACCGTGCTTCACTGAAAGATACGCATGACAATCGCAGCTTCTGTCGAATCGCGATCTCGATTCCATTTCGATTTATCGTGCAGCCCTAATGCACGATTCTCTGAAATGCTTTCCTCTGGTTGGTCACTCGCAGTATTTTGTGTGTAATGACACTGTGCTGAATAAATGACAGTTGTCCCAGGCAACTTATTTATGTAAAAGGTGGTGCATGACTCCTCTGATTGTACATTATGCTGTAGGTCTTTTGTTTTTGAAGTAGTTCTTTATTATTAAGATTTTAGGTTTTAATTTATATGATTGTGTAAAGGGAAGTTTACATTTTCAGACTTGACATTGTCATTATTTTCACCAAACTTTCCCAGTTTTAATTTAATTTTTTTTAAATATTCATAATTTGAATGTACATATACACTACCTGTCAAAATATTTTTTGACGGGTAGTGTATGTAAGATTTTTATTTTAAAGAAATTAATGTTTTTATTCCGTGAGGATGCATTAAATTGATCAAAAGTGACGGTACATACTTTTATAATGTTACAAAAGATTCCTATTTCAAATATTTGGATATGTATTTGATTTTCAGATATTACGTTTGAAATTGAATATATCTGATTATAATCAAATATCAAATATTTTGAACTTTCTGTTCATCAGAGATTCCTAAAAAATTATGCATCATGGTTTCCACTAAAATATAAAGCGGCACAACTGTTTTCAACATTGATAATCAGAAATGTTTCTTGAGCAGCAAATCAACATATTAGAATGATTTCTGAAGATCATGTGACACTGGAGACTGGAGTAATGATGCTGAAAATTCAGCTTTGCATCACAGGAATAAATTACAGTTTAAAATGTATTTAAATCGAAAGCAGTTATTTGAAATTGTAATAATATTTCACTATATTACTGCATTTACTGTATTTGTATTCAAATAAATGCATCCTTGATTAGCAGAAAAGACTAGGAAACATTAATAAATCATACTGACTCCAAATTTTGAATGGTATTGTATGTAAGTATTATCATTTTGTGGGCTGGTTTTTGTTTCGTATGTTTGCAGCTACTGTGGCATCCATGATCCAGCATGTGTGGTCTATTGCAACACCAGCAAGAAATGGTTCTGCAACGGCCGCGGTAACACCTCTGGCAGGTGAGTCCACCAGTCCATTAATTTTGATAACCAAAGCATTGTTAAAACTTAAAATGATTATTCTTGTCACATTTGTTTTCTCAGTCATATTGTGAACCACTTGGTGAGGGCCAAATGTAAGGAGGTGACGCTGCATAAGGACGGACCGCTGGGAGAGACGGTTCTGGAGTGCTATAACTGCGGCTGCCGTAATGTCTTCCTGCTCGGCTTCATCCCGGCTAAAGCCGACTCTGTTGTGGTGCTTCTGTGCAGGTGAAACATTTGCAAAGCATTTCATTCTGACTCACAAACTCAAATTCAGTCATTCTGGAAAAAGTTTATTTTGATTAGGTTGACCCAAATCTAATTTGATGTCTTTTAGGCATCAGTAAATAAAGGGAGATTTAGTCATTGTTTTTAGTAATAACAAAAAAAATGTAAATCTTTTCTACCTGCTGGATTTCCTCTTTATTGTTTGAGTATGACACAATCTGTATTTACAAGATTCATTTAAGGCTTTTAAACTGTTAATATTAAGCTTTTAGACTCTTTTTGCATCTGTGATGGTACATGCTTACTCAAAATGTGAAATGGGAAAGTCCCATGTATTTTCATTTTTACATAATGATGTGTGAAGTGTAAGAAACCAGGTCTGTATTTTATGTACCTCGTGTGCTAGCATAATTGCTTTTAATGTGTTTATGATTGCATATTTATAGATAAATGCGTAAATGTTTTATGTAATTTTTATAAATATTTTATTTCCCTAAAATATATTAAATATTCTTAAATCATTGTAATGAATAGTTTGTATTAATAAATGCAAAAAATTAAATCAATGCATACAAACATGATTTTTTTTTCTGGAGTTTACCTCTCATGTTGACTGAATGAATTTTATTTTATATTTAATTCGAGCAGCCATAGGTGTACAAACATATACCATATTTCAATTTACATATAGTACTAACTCAATGCAATCATAAAGTACCTTTTGCAATATGAACACAAGAACAATTGCTTTGTTTTTTTTTCTTTTACAAATAAAGGTAAACAAAAATATATACACATAAATTAATAATAATAATCATAATAAAATATTAAATATGACATTAAATAGTATATAAAATATATATATTAAATAAAATATTAGATAAACAAAATAAAATGAAGGTAGAAAGAGTAACCCTGTACATCCAGGGAGAGAATGTGTGACCTAATTAAATTCCATTAAAAATAAACTGAAACGACTTTCATTCAAGTCATTATTCTATATATTAATCTCCTCTTAAATTATGTGTAGCAACAAAATCAGTCCATCTTTTTGATACAAATTCAACCCATTTCCTCCATTTTTCCAGGAGACTGGATAATTTTTAAAAATGTTTATTTTTTTTACTATTTTATTTGAAATGTTTAGTGAAAATTTAATCGCACCACTTGAAGCTGTGAAACCATAACATCATTTTGGCATAATTTTATCTGGTGCTGGTTTTATCAGAAGCTGTCAACCATTGCTTATCAAGCGTGTGCACTGCCTCTGTCTCATGGGTGTGTGTGTGTGTGTTTGTTTGTGTGTTTAGGCAGCCGTGTGCCAGTCAGAGCAGTCTGAAGGACATTAATTGGGACAGCTCTCAGTGGCAGCCCCTCATCCAGGACCGCTGCTTCCTGTCCTGGCTGGTGAAGATCCCGTCTGAACAGGAGCAGCTGAGGGCCCGTCAGATCACAGCACAGCAGATCAATAAACTCGAGGAGCTCTGGAAGGTACTCTACTATAGCCGCCTGCGAGCTTCAGTGTAAATATTGCGTCAATTTAAAATAGATTTGAGCGTGATTTAAACCCGGATGATTTTAACCACTCTAAGTTGGTCTGCCTTGGGAAAGCTAGCGTGTCTCCGACATAGTGATAACACTCGTTGCCTTCTCTAGTGCAGCTCAACCAGGTCTCGCCCTATTCGTCGATATTTGTGATATCACAAATCCTGGAAAATATCCGTTGTAGTCCAAACTGATTTAAAGGTCAGAATCTATAGCTTACATGAAAAAAAAAATCAAACATGACACTTGTAAATTAATTTTATATATACTGTTTTATTCATTAATGTGTAATATGTTTTATTTTTTAAACAAATCATAAGCTCTAAAAGATTTTCTGAATTTTTACAACTCTTTTGCTTTAGACCATTTACAAATGTTAAATCTTAAAATAAAATGTTAGGGTTAACACTGCATCTTTCTGTGGAAAAAAAATGCAGCGATTGATATATATAGTTTATTTAGGCTATAGTTATTTTCAAAGCTTCAATGTACTGTCAAAAAA